TAACGAACAGGCACGAGACATCGCGCCCCCCGATGAGTCAGATGGACTACTCGGACCCAGCCGCGACGAGTTACTACTCGATATAATTAACCAAATACGGCATTAGATCTGTCATATGACCGAGCAAATAAATGCTCTTAATACAGATAGGCACCTTAACGCGAGACCAATAAATATGGACATTACGTACGAACGGACAGCAAACGACGTGTGAAACCGACACTCACGTGCTAACAACTATTTACAGCTTAAGAAAGCTAGAAACCTAATACCGGAGTTCGACGGCTCCTCACAGAGTAGGCTACAAGAATTTCTAAACGCGAGCTCTTATGCCGTAAATGATATAGATCCCGCGGACGAACCCGCGTTATTAGAGGCCATCTTGTGTACTAAACTAAAAGTAAAAGCCATGATCGACTTTGACACCCGCGATATCCAGAACTTCGAACAATTAAGACGAGAACTAGAGATTTGCTACTCGACGCAAAAGAGTATAACTCATTTACAGTTAGATTTCAATTCGCTGAACAAATAGGAGACAACGCACAAGCATATGGCTTGCAAGTTGACAAATTTGCGATGCAATTTTATCAAACGTTAGTGGACGAACGAAAATATACAAACGACCAGAAACGAACAATATTAAAAACGATTCAACCACAGGCTCTTCAAAATTATCAGATAGGCTTACGTGATGACATAAGAACGGTGGTACGAGCACAAAATTATAATACCTTGCACGAGGCGATTTCCGCCGTCAGCTCAGAAGAACAGGTGCAGGGAAGCGTGAAACTCCCCGTAAGACAAAAACCTTTAACATACGCAAGGAATGACAGAATCATCAACTGCTCCAAATGTGGAAAACTAGGACACTACGGACTCGAATGTCGGTCAAGCCGATATGCAAATCGGTTCTCATTACCAAAACCCGAAACGCGGACTCGCATAAACTCTACGGATAAGCATTGCTTGCACTGCAAGAAAAACGGGCACACTCGTGATGACTATTGACATCTACACGGGAAACCACCGGGACACCGGACACCGCGAGCGACTGCCGTAGACACTCGAGCCCAGTGACTATCACCGCGATAGACACAAATAAATCATCGACATCTTGCAGAAACGAGAACGTCAGATTCAACAATCACCAAGAGGAAAGAAACAAAAAAAAGAGCAAAGTCACGTGCGCGACTACCGCGTAAACCAAATCAGGCGAAATTTGCATAGCAGCGCCGGATTTGACTTAGTAATTTTGCCCCAAAAATGAGGCCCAACGCAAGAAAATACCATTTCTCGTTGATACAGGATCAGCCATTAGCCTCATAAAAATACGACTTTGCACGATGATGCCCCTATGACTGCTAAAAAATTGACATTAACGGGTATCACCGGACATAAAGCTTACACTATAGGAAAAATAAACGCTATAGTCAGCTTAGGAAAACAGCGTCGAAAATTTGAACTGTTCGTGGTACGAGATTTTCCAATCGAATATAAGGGGATCTTAGGAATAGACTTCCTCCGCGAACACCGTGCTAAATTCGATTATCGGGAAAAAACAATGACGATTTCCGGACAAAGTCTACTATTAATACTACATCAAAAATACAATCTCCCCGCGCGTAGCGAAGTAATAATACGCGCCGCGGTGAATGTAAACCAAGTAGGAATAATCCCAGCCGAAGAAATCTCACAGGATATTTTTATTGGGAATTGCCTAATAGAACCTGACAATTATACGTGTCCTGCAATAATAATTAATACTACTGACAACCCTGTCGAGATAAACACACCTTACGTAATATTAGAGGACACTCTGGAATATAACACCGTAGAGATAAACGTACTCACTACAGGACAAAATAATAAACCCCTGCTAGCACGAACAGAAATATTGAATCAGCAGTTAAGGTTGGAGCATCTAAATAAAAAAGAGGAAAAAATAATACGCGAGGTTTGCGAGGAATACAATGACATATTCTTCGAAGGAGACAGCCTTACGCATACTGCGGTCGTAAAGCATCAGATTGCCACGCGAAGTGACGCCGCGCCGGTAAACATGCGACCTTATCGCCTATCAGAGCAGCATAAGAAAGAGGTAGATAAATAAATATGAGTGTTCCGTACGGACGCTGTCATCCGCACGGACAGAGTACGGCGGGCGGCCGTGAGCCAGGCATGTTCTGCTCGCGGGCGGATACCGCTCGCCGCTGCTTCGCGCCGTCGCTCGCGGTTAAATTTCGGTTCGGCGCCAATATAAGGCACCGCGGGCGACAGCTCTAGGCCTTTTGACTGCGGTCGCACATCAGGTCACTGCCTCGTTGAGGTATTCTTTTGAACTCCACCTAGCTGGATATCGCCTTTTGAGTGCTCTTGCACATTGCCTTCAGAGTGTCTATGACACGTTGGCTTTTTTGGTACAAAATGGTTTGGTAACTCCACGGATCTCCACCTTCTCAATACGTTCGGCGTCTGAGAGAAGGATTCGCGTGACCATTTCGGATTACCTCGAACCTCGGATTACCTCCACCGCGGTGGACACTTCTCTTCGCGATATTTTCCGTATTGCATATACCGGGCATCAGTTCGATAGAACACGTTACTGTCGGGCTCACGACTTCGCGCGAGTCTTCGTTCTCTTCGAGAACTCCTCCGCTGCCAGGGACGCAGCTATTACGCGAGCCACGTTCGCTAGCGCTCCGCTGCCAGGGACGCAACTCTCAAGCGAGCCACGCTCGCTATTGCTCCGCTGCCAGTGAGGCAGCTCTCATGCGAGCCACGTTCGCTATTACTGCGCTGCCAGGGACGCAACACTCACGCGAGCCACGCTCGCTATAGCTCCGCTCGCCTTTACCTTGCTGCCAGGGGCGCAGCTTTTACGCAAGCCACGCTCGCCTCTAAGTCGACACTAGACTTAGTCTCCGTCGCATGCGGGACTTAGCCCGCGAGTTACACTCGCAACTAAGTCCCTGCGAGACTTAGTCTCCGTCGCACACGCGACATTATTATTATCCCTCCGACAAGGGGGACTTCTCCTAGCGCGGAGGCGCTTGAAAGCGGTGCACTACCGCAGGTAGTGAGAC